CCCCCCCCCGCCCTCCGGCCCTCTCCCCCCCGCCCCCCCCAGCCTGCAGGTTTCTGCCCCCCATTGCCTCAGCACCCTTCCCCTTGCAGAGAGCAGTGGGGCCAGCCCAGCCCCCCCAGCACACCCACCCAAGGGCCCAAGGAAGGGACAAGGATCCAGGCCACCCCCCCGCCATGGCTGGGCAGGGGCAGACCCTGCTTGGGGGTGAGTCAGCCATTGTGGGGCCTGCTCTCGTGTCGGTGCGGAGGGGCTGGACCCTGCTGGCCTGGGCCCCAGCACTCTGGGTTTCCCGCAGGCTGTGAGCAGACATCCCCGGGGGTGACCCTCACCGACAGCCTCATCGCCACGAGGAACCTGCCTCAGCTGGTGGAGCCCCCGCGCCCAGAGAGCTGGCGAGGATCCACACAGAGCCCACCTTCATCACCCAGGCTGACAAGGACGGGCTCCTGGCACAAAGGACACCCTGAGCACCCCCCTGCCTCTAGATCCACGGAGCTGGTGTCCCCCTCGACCATCCGCTTGGACCGGGAGAACATCTGTGCTATCGGGAGGCTCCAGAGCCTGCGGGAGATTCACAGCCTCTACCTGCAGCAGGTAAGGCACTACGGCAGGCGTGGGCAGCGGAGATCAGCCCTGGTCCTGTGGGTAAAGGCCTCCCCGGGGGGACCACAAACACCCCCGGTTCTGCTCCAGAGTTTTGCCTCCCCGCATGGCCAGAGGGGCTGACGGCGCTCCCCTCCAATGACAGTGCCACCGATGGAATTCAAGCGAGGATCTGGCGTCAGCCATTTGGTGTTTGGACATCACGTTACCTGCGTGGGGTCGGAGTGATTCCAGGGTGCTCCCGCAGTCTGATTTTTCATGCAGTAGAAAAACGTTGCTTTTTTTTTTTTTTTTTTCAGAACCAAATTGAGAAGATCGAGAATCTGGGCTGCTTTCCCAACCTGCGGTATGAGCAGCTCCTGCCCCCAAGGAGATCGCTTTCCACGGGCAGAGGAGAGCAGGGCTCTCCCCTTCCCTTGGCAGAGCCGGGGGGGTTCAAGTTGCAGCTCCTGATAGCCTGGCGCTGCTGGCTCTGTCCCTGGGGGCCATGGTGTCCCCCCCGCCTCACACCACTGCCCTCCCTGTGCTCTGCAGGTTCCTCTCCCTGGCTGGAAACCGCATCCGCAGAGTAGAGAACCTGCAGCCCCTGCAACACCTGCGCGTCCTGGACTTGTCCCACAACCAGATACAGACGCTGGACCCAGGTGGGAGGCAGGAGTGGGTCCAGACGTGGCCTGGGTCTGCCTGAGAGGTGCCTCGGGTACTGGGGAAATGCTGGCAGACCCTAGGTCCAGGCCCCACCAGGGCCACTGGCCCTCAGATCCCAGCCAGAGCCCCAGCAGAGCCACCCTGGGGCTGGCCTGCTTGCTCCAGCGGGACACCAGAGGAGCCCTGTGGCCAGGTTTGAGCCCTCCCTTCTGCTGGCAGACTCCAGGTGTCTGTTTCCACCTTGTGTCCTGCTTCGGCAGAACATTTCAGCTGCTCAGATCAGACGTGGGGACTTCAACCTCATGGCAAAGCTGCTCCAGCCCTGACAGCCCTTCCTGCATCTTTCAGCTGGCTCCTTCCGTGGGTGATTTTTGGCAGAAGAGGGAGGGACAGAGGGATGATATCTCCCTCCCTTCCTCTGTAGCATTGCTATTGTGGCACCAGGTCCTGTGCTTGCAGACAGGGGTGAGAACGGGAACAGCGAGGGCCTGGGCAGGGGAAAACCCTCAGTTCTCACATGGGAACGTATGCAATACACATTCCCGCCCTCCCTGCCTCAGTTTCCCCAGCTGTGAGGTGAGAGACTGCTTCCCACAACGGGGCTGTTGCCTCGGGAGTGGGTGAAGAGCTGTGGGAGACGGGGGTGTGGGTGTTTGGCGGACTGGGGGGCTCGGGTCCCATCTCAGCACCTTTCTGCCTTCCCTTCGATCTCCGCAGACGAGCTGCCCCACAGCCTCCGTCTCCTCGACTTGACGGGAAACGAATGCACCCACCAGCACGGATACAGGTGGGTCAGGGGAGCCTGTGGGGGAGAGCGGTGGGAGAGATCAAGTCCCCCAAACCACCTGAGCCCCTCAGCAGGGTCCAGCCCCCCCCAAATATTAAATAGAGCCTGAGGCCCCCCCCAACCCCCAGAAATCCGAGTCTCTGCCCAGGTCGGGCTGTGCGGTGGGCTGTGCAGAGAGGTGCCAGGGGGGTTTGGTGCCGGGGGGTTCAGTGCCACCCTGACGTGCTCCCAGCCCCAAGGCGATGGCGTGTGGCGGGGGAACGTCTGCTCTTCCTTCGGTGCTTGCAGAGAGCTGGTGGTGGGAGCCCTGCCCCACCTCCTGCAGCTTGATGCCCAGCCCGTCCGTGGTGGCGTGGGTGAGGAAGAGGAGGAAGGAGGCTCATCCAGCACTGAGGATGAAGATGACGAGTTGCTCTCTGAGCCAAGCGGCCCTTTCACTGCAGGCAAAGGTGCCCAGACTGAAGCAGAACATGTTGCACGCTTGGGGGTTAAGCAGGCCAGTCCCTGTGTCCCCAAGGGTGACAAGTGCGGCAGGGAGCTCCAGTGGCCATGCCAGGTCTCCTGTAATTCTTCTCCCTCTCCCTCCCTCTGTCCCTGGCAGAGTTCTTTGCGGATCTGCACCGGGAGCTGGCCGGGCGCTCGTGGCGGAGGCGGAGGGAGGCCCTGGAGGAACACTGGACCCGTCTGGAAGAGCTGGAGGAGCTGCAGGAGCGTCGGGATCTGCTACTGCCTCCTGCACGGCTGAGCCCAGGCAGGGAGGGAGCAGCCTGCACCACAGCCCCAGGACCCAGGCGGTCTCAGCCCCGTCCCCAAGCTAAGCCAGGGACGCAGCTGCCACCCCTGCCGGGACCCGGCGGGCAGCACGGCCCGCAGCCCCAGCGAGCTCCCAGCAGCCAGCCCTGGACCAAGGCTCTGGAGGAGACGACTTGCACCAAAGGAGCAAGAAATAGGCAGTTACCCCAAATACCCCACAGCAGCATGGCACCACGCAGTTGGGATTAAAGCCTCTTTATTCCTACGCCAATCTGCCTGTCTGCCGCGGAGCCCCCAGCCCTGCAGCCAGCCCCAGAGCGGCTGGGCCCAGGCAGCTCTGCCTGACGGTGGGAAAAGACACGTTGGGTTGCAGGCAGGACTCCAAATCCCGCTCCACATCCCTCTCCTTCCCTCCACACCCGTTTCAGGCCACAGCCACCTCAAAAACACCGATTCCTCCGGGGCACGTTAGGGGGCTGGAGGCTCCGCACCCCCAGGCAGGGTCGAGCCGTTGCCCACCACGCTGTCAGCGGCAGATCCACGGTGGGAGGAGGCGAGGAGCCGGTGCCGGGCACCGGGAAGGTTTTCTCATCCCCTGTCCAGCAGCAATGCCACGGGGGGGCTGAGCCCACCCACCCACGCGGGGTTTATGTGTAAAACTTCATCTCTGCCTCCACGCAGTCGAAGAAGAGGTCGGCCAGCTCCTCTGGGCGGGGGGCCACCGTCCCCTCCAGCAGCGCGTTCATCCCCTCCAGGCCCTGCTTCTCCAGGTCCCGCAGTGTCTTCAGGAGCTTCTGGCCCCACTCCTGGTGGGGTTGGGGACGGAGGAGAGCTGAGACCGGGCACCCTCGGGGAAATCGACTGCCTCCCACATCACCGGGGAGAGCGAGGGTCCCGGGGCAGCGGCGGCTGGGGAAGGGTCTGCGGTACCTGGTCCCTCTCCATCAGCTCCAGCGCCGCCTGATGCCGGCGGTAGAGTTCATGTCGCCGATCGACCGTGCTCTGGAACCGCGGGATCTTCTTGGCGGGGTCGTCACGGAAGGTGGGAGATCTCACCTGCAGCACGGGCTTGAGGCCGGCCACAAAGACGAAGGGCTTGAAGACGGACCTGCCGGAGAGGAGCATCAGGGCCCTGGGACGGATGCTGCTCCCTGGGGACGCTCAGCCCGGGACACGGCTCTGCCTCGTCCCCGTCCCCCCTGGAGCAGGGCTGCTCCCCACCGGCGTCCTCACCTGGAGGGGTCAGGGGTGGCCGTGAAGAAGTGGACGCAGGGCAAGGTGGGGTCCCGGGGCAGCACGGACACCATGCTGCCCGCCGTGCGGAAGCCCTCCGAGTCCACGCAGATCCCGCTGGCCTTGTCCCGCAGGATGGCCATGAATGTCTCCGCCGTGATGTGACCTGGAGGGCGAGGTAGAGCCATGTCACCGCCGGCTGCTGCGGCCACGGGGAGCGCGGAGATGCCAGGGCAAGCCGTGGGCGGCCGTCCTTGTCCCCCATCCCTGTCCCCACCTGCATGCTGCCGCAGCAGCTCCTTGCCGGCGCGGTAGCGGGCCTTGGCAGCCTCCATGCGGGCGGGCTGGTGCGTCAGGGAGAAGACCTCGGCGAAGCTGAACTCACCATCCCCGCTCCACCAGCCCTGGCTGCGGGCTCGCTGCCGCAGCCCCGCGTGCTCAGCCGTGATCTCTCTCCCGATGCTGAGCTGGTTGGAGATGTTGCGGCTACCCTCTGCAAAGGCCAGAGAGGGGGTCAGGCTGTGGGGGGGGGGACACGGCTCCCTGTCCTCCCAGTACAACCAGCACCCACTCACCTTGGATCCGCTGGGCTGCCCAGTATTGGCCAGCCGTCTCCAGCACCCAGGCCTCGGTGCGGTCAGCCAGCAGGAAGGTGTTGTGGTAGACGAAGGGCACCGGCTCCTCCTTGCAGCTCCCTCCCTGGCCGTAGCGCTCCAGCAATGCCGTGATCACCTCCAGGGCCTCCCGGGCAGAGCCGCCCCGCTCCAAACCCAGCCTGCCGCGCCAGCAGCACCCCGTCGGCCGGCGGTGGGGGGCGCCGCCGGGCGGCCGGGGCGGAGGGGGGGACATGAGACGGTCCTCACCTCACCAGGTCCATCCCCAGCAGCGCCTCGTGCTCCCCCAGGGGCTCGCGGGTCCAGACGCCCTCGTTGCCCACGCAGACACCGTGCTCGTTGGCGCCCATCTCGGCACCCCACAGCCAGGCGGGACGGCTCAGCACCACTGCGTGGGTCCTCTCCGCCTGCTCGATCTCCAGGTAGGTGCACTGCGGTGGCGGGGGGGGGGGGGAAAAAAACGAGGGGGGGCTGAGACCTGGTGCACTCGCTGCACCGTCCCCTGCAGCCGCCCTGGTCCCATCACGGTCTCACCTGGACTTTGTCCCCGGGGTGGTGGACAGCAGCGGGGATGTAGACGACCTCCTGGACCTCGTGGCGTGGCCGGTCGGCGTTCTTGCCGAAGATGACGGCGGGTGTTGCGGTGTGCGGCGGCAGCGCCACGAAGCAGTCGCAGGACGAGGGCGCAGGATCCCGTCCTGCCATCCTAAACCTGGCGGAGGGGACGCGGTGGGGGGCACCGAGGGGACGTCACCTCCTTGTTCCTGTCCTGGATGTGTCCCCAGGGTCCCTGTGGGGTTGGCAGCCGTGGGGAGACTGGGGGGGGGGTGTCTGGGGGATGACATAGACCCCCGAGCTGGGGGTACATCGGGGACCCCATCCCGGGGGGCACCTCCTGCCCCGGGACCCCGCAGCTCTTCACCGACCGGGGGACGCCCCTTCCACCCGCCCCGACGGCTCCCGTC